GGATCTCTGTGAGTTCGAGGCCAGCCTGGGCTACCAAGTGAGCTCCAGGAAAGGCGCAAAGCTACACAGAGAAACCCTGTCTCGAAAAAACCAAAAAAAAAAAAAAAATCTGCTTGATGTGGAGACCACATGGAAGCTGGGACTCTCCACTTCTCCAGATAGGACATGAACCCTCCCAATCAGATGCCAATCAACCCCGGTCTACCTCTATCAACACCAACATCAAGGCCCCTTTGTCCTACTGGGGTGCTGTCAGGAAAACAGAGTGTAAGGAAACTCGGACCCTGAGGACATAATGCCATACAGACTGTTCTCCAAAGAATAGAACTCATCATACCAAGAACCAGAAAGTTCTCATATTAAATAAATATATACATATTGATACATGAAAACAATAGATACCATTAACCAAGGCAGCAAAATTTCAGAGTTAGCAGACAGATATTTTTAATTTGTGATGATAAAAGTGGTAGTCAATATATTACAACAAGCAAGATAACAAAAGTATAGGTTTATCTAAAAACTTTAAAATACCCATGATAGATGTTTCAAGAAGAAAATAAAAACATTCTGGAAACAAGTTTTTAAAATATGTAAATCATCAACAAAGAAAGATGTAAAGAGCTGAATGGAAATTTTATGTCTTGAAAAATATATTTTAAGTATTCCAGGGTGTTAATTGGTTCCTGAGGCAACAAAGATATCAGTGAACCCTCAAGAGTTGCTGGGGGTGGTGGGTGTCAGATTGAAATCAAACAGAAAATAAAGTCTCATGTAAAGATCCTAAATGTCTACAGATGAATGCAATGCTCATAGAAATTCCAAGATTCTTCATAAGATAAATAGACAAAACAATCTCAAAAATCATATAGAAAGTGTGTGTGTGCATGCACACACACACACACACAAACACACACACACACACATGCATGCATGCACGCACGCACGCACGCACGCACGCGCACACACACAAGAAAAAAAAACCTGGATAGCCAAAGCAACCCTGAAGAAAAAAGAATGATGTTGAAGGTATAGCCAGACCTGACTTCAGGCTACACTATAGAGCATGGTACCACAACAAAATTACATACATTGATCAATGAACACAAAAGAGAACCACAAAAATAAACCCACACAGCTACAGCCACAGGACTTTTCACTAGAAATACATATCAGAGGAAGACAGGCTCTTCAACAAACTGTGCTGAGAAAACTAGGTACCGATGTGCAGAAGAATGAAGCTAGATCCATAGCCGTTCTGTGTAAAAATTGACTTCAAAATAGACTCAAAAAGGATTAAAAACATTTATGTGAGGCCTGCAACCCTGAAATTGTTACAAGAAAAAAAATAAAGACAACATTCAAGATGTAGGCATAGGCAAATACTCCCTGAATGGAACTGCAGGCTTCTTCACAGCAAAGGATACAGTGAGTGAAGAGAGAGAGATCTGCTGAGAAAGGCAGGAAGCCCAGACAAGCTCAAATGGTCTAGGGAAACGTGTTTTCCGAAAGGTCTCTTGGCAAAGACAACAAACAAACTGTGCCTATTTAGGGCTGGAAGGTGTATTCCAAAGACATCTCAGTTACAGATGTCAAAGACAGTCAAGAATCTTTGCTTACTCAGGGCCAAATTGATGG